CTCAAATTTTCAAATGCCAAAAATCAAAATTTCAGCAGTTGATATCATTTCAGAGGAGGAATTCTGACAGTCCTGTTTGAAGATTTCTGTGTCCGAAGACCTTGTTCAGATACAGTGACCTTTTCCAAGAGATAGTTCTGTAGCGGTAATTATGTTCTTAACAGTACCAACTTTCTCTCTGATAATAGGTATATTTTATGGATTACAGTTCATATGTATCTGTCAAAAATATTTAATTCCATATAATCTTGAAACAAGGAACTGAAAATTATATTAATTGTTTTAATACATAGAATGGAGTATTTTTTTCCTTCTGTGGAATATATCAGACTTGTAGTATATAAAGGTGTTAAAGATCATGTGTGATCCATAGGACAGTTTTAGGTGATGATGAATATTCCTCTTTCCTCCAGCATCCTTGCTTGCCATGAAGTGCTAGACCCAGGATGGTGGCGTTCATTTTCAAAAGCACCTTCTTGTTCCTGTTGACAGCGTGTGTCCAGCAGATGCTAAAACAGCACCTCTCTGCCTAGCAGACTCTGCATGGAGCCTTTTTGCACAGAACAGATGACAGTGGCATCCACTGACATCACTTGTTGCACAGGCAGATGGCATGTAAATGTTTTTTTGAGACTGGCCAAGCAAGGAAGCTGTTACTAGATCTCTTCTGGAAAAGTGTAGTGTTTGCACTCTCTTTGGATAAATTTTTAGATTAGGAGCTTTTGCTTCTCAGCACATCCTTTGAAACTGACTCCAGAGAGGCATGCAGGCCTTGCACAATGTGTCTGTCATTCTGAAGGGAGCGTACTAATTGATTAATGTCAATAAATTTTGTCTGGGCATATGTTCATGCGTTCTGATATGTCAGAAAATATGTATTTTGTATGTCCTTCTGCTCTATCCTGAGTTAAGCAGTTTCCTTAGCAGTAATTACAACTGATTCAAACGTACTATTAAAGGTGCAGTGCCTGCAAAATAACATACGGCCCTGACTCTTGGTAAGATGATCTTCTGGTTGGCTTGAAGCAATCAAGGTCTGAATGAGTTATAGAGCACTTGGTCCCTGATGCTGGAAAATGGTCAACGTTTCCATTCAATAATAATAACTTTTTTTTGAGGTCATATTAAGGCAGCCTTCTGCTCAGAGATTTTAGTAAGTATAGTAGAGCAAGAATGTAGTGCCTTTGCGGTGCTGACTGCTTCTTTTTCTGTCCTTGCTTACTGAGGTGGTCACAATTCTCCAGTCCCCTTTCTGACATCTCTAATCTATGCTTTTAGGTAATCAAATAAAATCCTGTCATCTTTTACAGTTCCTGCCTGATCTGTTCTTGTGAACAACATTCTCATAAATATGAATATATTCTGACTACTTCCTAGCAGTAACATAAAAGAGATGACTATGGGTGTAGTTACTCACAGAGCCTTAGTTCTTCCCTTCAGTGAGCTCTTGGGTCAGAAAGAGGCACACCAAAAGATAGGATGTGTTTCAGAAAAAATCACATGTAATCTGAGGGCTCTGAATGTTTATATACTTGCTTACTTAAACAGATTATCATATAATTTGTCTGACTAGGAACTATAACGTTCATAAATAAAACTATGAATTTTAATGACATTTACCACAAATGCATGTCGGCTCTCATGCTGTCTTCAATACAGCTGTATAGTGCTGGATTTATAGTGCTGGTGGTGTTGCAATTACAGTGTGCCAGCATTTTCTTGAAATTCAGCTTAGTTCTATTTTAACACAGGTTTTGTCAGTGATACATTAAAAAACCCAAACAACTTTGATGGTGTGGCACTTATAATTTAATCACTAAAAGTGCTAAGAACTATAAAGAAGTTGAAGCAATGTATTAATAAGCTCTTTAAGACAGCTCATGATGACTACAGTCTATTCAGAGACTGCTGACCAAAATTTTAGGCATAAACATATGGCAATGTATGAAATTCAAGTTCTAAATTTTGATAGCACACCCATGGGCAACCCCACTCCTCCCCAAAAATCCACAAAGTGGAAAAGCTCATTCATGTAATCTAGTTTTTATCACAGATTCCATTATTCTTTTTCAGGTGGAAGTATTTAGAAGGCAGAGACTTCTGCCTAGCTTCATGTAACTATTAATATTAGCGTGTAGCATGTGAATAAAACTTAAGGTTGATTTCTTTATGTATAGAAAGTAGTATGATTCGTGTCAGAGATTGACAGACTTGAAAAAAATGGAAGCACATTATTGCAGCATGTGGTATTCCTGCCAGTAAGCAGCCATGTCAGGGGTTCCATAGCTAAGGCCTAAAATAAACCTTATGTGGCAGATACTGAAGTTTACAGATGAAGATGCAGAGGCATTCACTAGCTTTGGCAATGTAAAGGCACAATTACCTTCTATTTCCTCATGAAACATATATATATATGTGTGTGTGTGTGTGTGTCTACATATATAAGATTAACCTTCTATCTTTTTTCCTTTAATATTTTGCTATGAGAGAGACTATTTTATCTTTCATTCCATTTGTGTCTTGTTCTTTTACGTGATAAAAAAAAACTGCTTACCCTTCAGTAGCTGTTATTTCTTCCGAAATAGAGGCAAGATCCAGTTGAGATCCAAAATAACATCAATAGTGTTATGTCAGAAATTGGATGCATCCCAGAATGGTTTAGATACCTCCTTCAGTAGGAGCAGGATTTTTTATTATGTGCTTTCCTGTGTATAAGGGCATATGGGCAGTGAGGGTTCTGACTCAGAGTATTTGCTTTCATACTAAATTGAAGGAAGATGTCACAATATCAAAATTACCCCATCTTCCAAACTCTAAAAATTTGGTTTTATTAAAAATAGATTTGTTTTGAAACTGTGGCATATATGAAAAAGAACAGTACATTAAAACAATATTTAATATCATGCAAAATTGACACACCCTTATCAGTTAGGTGGTTCTAACAAAATAACCCTCTTCCCCCAGTAAACACATAGAATCATAGAATGGTTTGGGTTGGAAGGGACCTTAAATCTAGTTCCAGCCTCCCTGCCATCAGCAGGGACACCTTCCACTAGACCAGGTTGCTCAAAGCCTCATCCAGCCTGGCCTTAAACACTTCGAGGGAGGGTGCATCCACAACTTCCTTGGGCAACCTGTTCCAGTGTCTCACTACCCTTTCAAGTGGGAAAGTAAAACCTTTCTGTAAATATTTTTGTCAGGCTCTGTTGATATGAGATTTGCTTAAACTTGCATGTTAGTTTAAACATGCCTAAGGTAACAGAATTTGTCTTTTGATTCCTCTGTGTACATCCTGCACCTGTATTGGGACACCCTTCACTGAGACCATGTATGCGAACATAGGACCCGAGTTCTTTATCTGTTTTATGTTTATAATCTAGCATACCTGCAGCATACCTGAGGAAGGGCCTGTCTTTCCTTCTATCATCTGCTTATCAGTATTTAGGAAAAATAATACTATTTCGATGTTTTACTGAGCCCAAATAGTTTTACGATTATGTCAGTATGGCCTACTGGCTGTAATTGGGTTACAGGACTATATTTTCTAATATACATTTTTCATACAGTTAGGTAAAAGATGCTGGGTTTTGGACTGAATTACTTAATGTAAAAGTTTTTATGCACATGATTAACATTTCCCGACCTAATAATATTATAGAACTTAATAATATTATAGAATGACAATAAACCAGACCTGTTACAAAACCAAGGCTGAAGGCCAAGTGCTTCCAATCTCTAGAGATGGTGCAGTTTTAGATTAGCAGTGTACACCATGTTGCTCTTACTGCTTTTATAGAATGGTTCCAAGTCTTTCAAGAGTGCTCAGGCACCTTTTAAATAATTTTACTGCCTGAATTCTCAACATCCTATTGCCATTTTGCAATAAATCAAATAAATCCGTCTGCTCATCTTAAAAATCAAGGAATGTCTCTTATCTTTCTTTAACATTTGTGTCTCTTGTTTTTTTGTTTATCTGTTTGTTTTTCTCTAAAGGCTCACCAGTGTTACCAGTAAGAAACAATAGATCAGTATCATTGGAAGGAGTTACTAACTGTCTGTAGAAAAAAGAACAATATTTAACAGTTAAAATTTGTCATTTGTTTTTAATCAATTTCATATGATACTGCATATGTATATAAGAAAAACTGAGCATGAGTGTGAGTGGAATCAGAAAAGAATTAGAAAAGACTAGATTTAATTTTTTGTCAAAATTGTACACATTAGAATATATATATATATTCTACACACACACTCACGTGTATTCAGTGGATGGCAGCAGAAAGAAGGATGAAGGTAAAGAAAAAGGAAGTGGTTCTGATTATTAATCAGCATTATTCCTGTATTATTTTGTGATGATGATGATATGAATTTCTGAGACAGTCTGAAACACTAAACATATTGCCTCTATAGTTTTCTAACACTAATTTATCATTTGAGATTATAAGAGATGGGAATCTTTTCTGCCAATGTGATCCAGTGCTTTACAGATGTCGCTACAGATCTCTGCAGCTAAGCCTTGCTGACTCGCTGACAGAACAGTAACGGTGTGCATAGACCTGTGGGAGACACCAGTCTGCTCTTCTCCTCATTGCTGTCATATGCAATATCGTTGGGTTCGCAGGGTTTTGAAGTGGAGCGAGTCAGTGGATCACCGACTTTGTGAAAGGTGACACTGTGAAAGAATTCCTTTTGCTGGGAATTATTTGCTTCCTTGGTAAAAGGTTAAAACATTTTTATAATGCTATGGGAAAGCACAACTGTCCTGGCCAAGAATTTATCTTCTAAAGTAGACAATAGTGTTCATTATTGTAGCAGTTTGTAATGGCTTCTAGGTTTGCACACATGGTAAATGTTTCTAATGTTATCTCCTCATTTAGATTGCACACCTCTGAACTTTAGCGTGTATATGGGTATTGTTAAGGTAAATGGAACTACACAAGTGACAAATTTGCTAGATGACTGGAAGTTATCATTCATATTGTAATCTGCATCTGTTCTAGCTTCTTCAATCCTGAAGAGAGAGAAGCGGAAGAGAACAAAAAATGTCCATTTTAACTGTGTTACTGTGTATTACTTCACGAGAAGGCAAGGCTTCACCAGTGTTCCCAGCCAAGGGGGAAGCACACTGGGAATGTCTACTCGCCACAACAGTGTGCGCCAATACACACTTGGAGAGTTTGCGATGGAACAGGAGAGGCTTCACCGAGAGATGTTAAGAGAGCATCTAAGGGAAGAAAAACTCAATTCTCTAAAATTAAAGGTAAAATTTTTTCAAGACTTTGATCCCTGCCCTGTTTCTTTAAATGAGCAGTGTCAGATCTATATAGGTCCCGTGTGTGTTTTAAACAAAACCATTTCCTTTCTATCATCAACTCCATTTTCAATCAAAACAATGACATTTTTCATTCTTTTTATTTTACTGAAGACATTTTTCTTCAATATTACCAAGAGCTGCTGTAGCTCTTGTTGATGTGTACTTCAGAGTGCTTTACAGGGAGGTTGTTGTTTACTCCCTGTTATCTACACAGAGGAAAACAAAGGCAGAGAGTGGTGGAAGTTCACTTCGAACAGGGTGTCCAGCAGAAGTCTGGAAGTGCCAGGAAGAGAATGAGTCTCTGAGCCCTTGCACAGTGCCCTATCAGGCAAGGGAATGGTAACATCCCAACTACAGAAAGTGAAACAACTTATTTGCTTGGCCAACTTGAGCGAATTTGGCAAAAAGTAAGAAACAGTAATATTAAAAATGCTTTCTTTTTTCAGTGTACTAATTTATAGGATCATGCATCTTTAATATTTCACCATAGAATCATAGAATGGTTTGGGTTGGAAGGGACCTTAAAGATCATCTAGTTCCAACCCCCCCTGCCATCAGCAGGGACACCTTCCACTATACCACGTTGCTCAAAGCCTCATCCAACCTGGCCTTGGACACTTCCAGGGATAGGGCAGCCACAACTTCTCTGGGCAACCTGTTGATGTGTCTGACCACCCTCACAGTGAAGAATTTCTTCCTAATATCTAAACTAAACCTACCCTCTTTCAGCTTAAAGCCATTACCTCTTGTTCTATCATTAGTTGCCCTTTTGAAAAGTCACTCCCCAGCTTTCTTGTAGCCCCTTCAGGTACTGGAAGGCCATTATAAGATCTCCCCGGAGCCTTCTCTTTCCAGGCTGAACAGCCCCAACTCTCTCAGCCTGTGCTCATAGGAGAGGTGCTCCAGCCCTTGGATCATCCTTGTGGCCTCCTCTGGACTCGTTCTAACAGGTCCATGTCTTTCTTGTGTTGGGGGCTCCAGAACTGGACGCAGCACTGCAGGTGGGGCCTTATGAGAGTGGAGTAGAGGGGGAGAATCACCTCCCTTGATCAGCTGGCCACACTTCTCTTGATGCAGCCCAGGATATGGTTGGCCTTCTGGGCTGCAGGTGCACATTGCCAGCTCCTGTTGAGCTTCATGTTCTTCTCTTCGGAGCTGGCCTCAAGCCACTTATCGCCCAGCCTGCATTTGTGCTTAGGAAAAGCTCCAGCCCAAAAAGATGTCTGTATTAAAGAAGAAATATGTCAGACAAATGAACTGGCTGTGTCAGTTCAGCTAGTTAGAACAAATATTGGCTACAGCTTTGAAGCTGTCTTTTTAAATATAGCATAGGAGAGGAAAGAAATTGTGTATTTGAGTAGAGGAGAACAGAGAAGGGGATTGTGTTCTTGGAAGTGTTCCTTCTGCCTCTTTAAAACTGGTGGCAAAACTTCTGGTTTTGTTGTTTTTGTAGTGGATGAAACGCTTCCTGTGTAATGGCTTGTTATATGGATTTTAGGCTCTTTTTCAGTTAAATACTGTAATTAAAAGTGAACAATATTTAGAATTTCCTACAAACTGCTGTGCTCCATAGCCTCTTCTTTTGTGATATTATATCTCTATTCCAGATACTACTACGGTTGTCCAGAGCAAAATGGCACCCTCCAAGTTTAAGAAATGCCTTTCAGCATTTGTCCCATAGGATGAACTATGTTCATGAGTTCTATGTCTGAACTCCTGAAGAAGTGTATGTGACCCTTACTACTGTAATTATGTTTTTTAGTCTCCTAATTGTTTTTTATTTGAATAACTAAATAGATTCTTAAATAGTTCATAAAATTTGAACTGTCAAAATGAAAGCAAACAAACTTAAAATCACTCAGGGCAAAGGTAAATTAAAGATGGATATTTAGATGGGTTAGAAACCAAAGGCTACAGGGTTAGTAACTTATCACTAGATATAGATTATAACTCTAAACATCTGGCATCACAGGATCTTGAGAGCATCAAGTTTGAATTGAGCTGTGTCAGTGTAACCAATGACTGTGTAGATCCCTTGCCTGACTTCCAGGAATGAGCTCAAAGAGAGGAATCCTCAGTGGAGTGAGTGAAAAATAGTAAGGCATGCAAATATTTCACTTTTCTTTTTATAGCAGAAAGTTAGTAAAGAAAAATTACAGATCCTATTTAGCTCTAAAGATTGGATGAGGCCTTTTAGCCTTGGTCTGTATGGAGTAGAGTTTGGTCTTTGTGCTTTCATAATTCTCCTCTTAGCTGGGATGGATCTCCTTTCTTCATTAACTAACTTATTTCACTCCAGCTCACTGTTTTTTGGGGACATGGACTCTACTTTCTGCTCCTCTTTCAAATACGTGTTCTTCCATCTTCCTAGTCATTTGCTTGAGGGGATGGTAATCTTTACTGTGACTGTTAAGCTCCTGCAAAATCTCTTCATAAGTAATCAGTGAATAAGGAAAGCCTGATTTGCATTCCTCCCTATGTCCTAATTCCATCTCCTTTTCCTAAATAGAAAAGTCCCTTCCCCTACACTTAATTCAGCAGTGGTGGGATTCTTTCTTCATTGATCCTCTGCAGTTGATGTGGGAATAATTTGCTATCATGTTCTGAGACTACCAAGCTGACTCCAAAGTTTCAATTCAAATATTAAGAAACTGTGGTTAGGTCTTCAGAGTCTTGCAAGTAGCTTAAAGAATGGTAACATCTTACTAGTGTTAAATCTTTTACTAAACTAAAGTATTTCTCTTCAGTCTAGAGCATGTAAAAAACATAGGGAATAGAAAACTTCCTTTTTGAACTAGTCCACTAAACTCAGCTTAGTCACATCCCTGATTATACACTTAGGGTAAAACAAACCAAACCAAAACAAAACTACTTTCCCTTCTAAAAGCAAATCCAGGCCTCAATGAATTAGTAAAGAATCGCTGCAAAGCACTGAGCATGTTTTATTTGCTTAAGACAACTGGGCCTTGCTGATTTCCCATTCTGGAGATGGAAGAGCTGCTTGGTCATTCACGTGGATTCTAAACAAACACAAAAAGGAAACGCTATAGGTGTCAATTACGCTAAGGTGTCAATTGCGATCTTTAATGAAAATGCATTAATCAAGATTTGGATCAAACTTACTGTACATTGGTACAGAAAAATGAAGAAAATTAAGTAGGGCTAAGTTTGCTCAAAAAGGTTTTTATGTTTAAAAATCATTATGCAAACAGAAAGTAACATTTTCCATGTGGTTTTTAATTTCAGTTTCCCTGGTTTTTAATTTTTTGTATTGCATTAAAATATACAAACCTGTAGGTAGAGGTGTTCTCTTGTAGAGAATGCTTTCTTCTCTTTGCTACAGAAAAAAGAGAAATACAGGAATATATTGGAACTGAGTTTTCATAATATTAGGTAATGTTTATTATTTTACTTGCTAAAAGTGAAGAACCAAATAAGAAACTTTTCTTAATTAAAAGCAGCTAAAGACTGTAAAATAATCTTCAAAGTCACTTCTTTAGCCATTTAGCACCAGCGCTTTGGTGTAAACACTGCTGACAGCGGCATAAACGCTTGTTAGCAGCAGTCTGAAAATCCTAATGGCAAGGTGGACATAAAAGCCATCTTGTCAAGATGAAAGGGTACAAAGTAGGCTTCACCATTTGAGAAAACATTATGAGTAAGCACAGTAAATTAGCTGATATGGTCCTTATTGCTTATTTGTAATGCCTTCTCAAATTAAGATCTATTAAAATGATTAGTATGACCCTAGTAATGTTAAGGCTCCTGGGTCTGTGGACACAGTTGGTTTCCTTTTCGGAAATTGTAATTTCCAGCTAGGGCATGAAAAGGTGTCTAACCTAAATTTTTCATGTTTTACAGAGTTGAAGTGAATTTCACCCAAAGGTTTCACATATTAATTGGCCCTTGCGTTGTTCTGTTGTCATGACATTAACCTTGAGCCTTATGAGAGAAATATTGCCTGTCTACAGGTTTTATTCAGATGGACAATATTATGAAAATCAAGAGAACTTAATGTTTCCCTGAAGTTCTGTATTGGAAAATGTGTTTGATGGTTCTTGATAATCTTCCTCCTTCTGTAGTTACCTGACTATTTGTTTGAGAAACATTCAGATCTTTCATATCATTAATTCATTTGTTCTTTGTATGATAAAATTGAGAAAAAAAAAAAAAAAATCAGAGGCGACAAGAAGTTAGTCATCCAGCAAAGGAGTCAGGGGCTAAGCTGCTTTGAAATGGCAGCCGGCAATCTAATGCCACCTGATGCCCAGGCATTGGACTTTACAGCCTGCTGGGTGCATATGGTATTCAACATATGACTGGAGTCATTCCTTGATGCTCTACCACAGTGTAGCAAAGCAGTTAAGATTTGCAGGAAGAGGAGGAGGAGGAGGAGGAATACATGGTTCTATAGGTGCCTTTGTAAACTGAGCAGTTACAGCATTCACTTAATGGGTAAGAGCCCTGAAACTTATTTTTTATTAAATAGTAACTAAATAAAACACTATTTTAGTGTTTTATTTTTATTATTTATTACAGAAGCAGGGATTAGAATTCCTCCCCTTCCCCACTTTCAAACTTAAATTCTGATAGGCACTTAAATAGCAGTGATCTGCTTAAGGACTAGTTCAGAATTTGTAAGTAGGTCATTCTCCTATTATACAAAAAAAGGAAAGCAAAGAAACATAAATAAACTGTACTTATTTGTACCTAGCTGTCAAAAAAATGAAAAATATACAAAAAATTAAGGATCCCATTCTGGATTTGAACATTCAGGCTGAGTTGCATGTACAGTGGAGTATTCCCTCCCACTAGCTTCAGACAGCTAATTCAAGATGCATTTAATTGCAATGTAAATTTACCTGTAGATTATACAGAAAAAGGATGACTTCTAATGTTGCCTTTCCACCCTTACTGAACTAATACATTGAAATACCTCATGTAAATAATCTCTCCACAGTCCCAGGGCCAGGCAGAACTGATTAGGGAGCTGTTACCCCCTCTTTTCCTAGCCACTGTAAAGTGAACTGAATAATGGAAAACAGAGTAAGAAAACAACTTAAAGGAAGTTTGAGAGGACGTTTTGAAAATGCCTGTATTTAAGATGAAGAAAGAGCTAGAAGTATATGCACATAAAGAGATTTTAATGTTACAGGGATAACAGGCACGGTAAGTAAACTGAAACTTAAAATAAAATGAAGGCACTAAACTCCGAAGGCTGCAGTTACAGAAAAAGATTGAGAATACATTGAAAAGAGAAGGAAACAATAATGCCTATAAAGTGGAATCGTAAAAGTGGCAGAATACCTCTGCATGAACTTAAGTACAGTGCTGAATTGTTAAGGGATGATTACTGATCTCAGGAGAGTTTTTCTTTGTGCAGTGTGATGTGTACATGTTCACTGTGTGTAAGGACTACCAGTCATGACACTGAGACTCTTCTCCTTCAAAGGGAAGAGTATTCCTTTTAAGCTGACTTTACAAGTCAGGAATAATTAGGGTTTTTTGTTTTTTTTTCTGTGATTGTATTACACACTTGTTATAAACACAGAATTGCAGCTACAAAAGAGAGTAAGCAGTCTGCAGGAGCTCACCATCAAGTAATTCAGTAATACCATAAATGACAGTTACAATCAAAAAGATGGTGGAAAGGACAAACTTCAGTGCAGTATGGTTTTTTTTTAATTTTCCTTAGGAATATATGCACCCCTTTCTATACGAGATGAGTTACAGGAGTATGGTACAGAGGTGTGCTATCTTATGAAAGTAGCACTGGATGTTTGTACTTGATGCTCATGGCCATTTAAGTTTGAAACAATTTTTGAAAGGCTTGAGAGCTAGACTCTTGTACATAATAATAATAATCATAATAATAATAATAATAATAATATAGTGTCAGGATATTTACATCTACAAGGGCTCAAAAATTCATATCCTTAGGAAAGGAACAGCAATCTGAAAACTTTTCTCAAGATACTCCATAAAAGGTTAAGAACTTAGTTCCTTTTTTCTAAGTTTATTCATTCATTAACTTCCTAAGACTGATCTGGATGATTAGTGAAATACTAAAATCCATGACAACACCAAACTAAACAGGTTATTTTCAGGACCAAAGTGGACTAGAAAGAACTTCAGAAGAGCTATATGCATCAGCGCTGTGAAATACATCACAAAGAAACATGAAGTAATGTAGGTAGAAAGGGGCAAAATAAAGTGACTTCCAGGCTTAAAATTGTAAACTGAAGAAGCAAATATAGGAATCTGCCCAAATGATTAAGTGGAAATACTGCTTTGTGACCTCTGCTGTACAAACATCAAACAACTTGTCAGGCTAAAGAGGAACAGGATACCAAATCATACATAAAATACACCATTTTACAAATCTGTGATGCATTGTAATTTAAAATAACGTTGGTAGTATAATTACTATCTCAAAAGGAATATTGAAGTACTTCAAAGAGTGCAGAGACAGGAACTAGAATCAATTAAGGGCTCAAAAATTATCTTATGAAACAATATAGAAAAGACTAGAATTTTAGAAAGGCAAGAGATCTGGCAAACAATGACAAACGATGAAGGACATAAAGAACAGATAAGAAATTAGAAACTTAGAAATAAAACCCACTAGCTTCATGACAAACATGAAACTAAAATGTGTATTTCATTCATACATTTAAATGTGAAAGAACTGCCTTTTCCACCCTATCTGTAATCATATTCTGGAGCTTACTGGCAGTCATGCAGCATTTTTACATATGACTTTCCGCATTCCTAATGCATATATTCACATCTATGACATCTATATATGTATGCAAGTATAATTTAAGGACTTTCTTAATTGTTCTGTGCAACAGATGACAAAGAACGGTACAGTGGAATCTGAAGAAGCTAATACCCTGACACTGGATGACATTTCTGATGATGATATTGATCTAGACAACACGGAAGTAGATGAGTACTTCTTTCTACAGCCCCTGCCGACAAAAAAGCGAAGGGCATTGCTGCGAGCTTCTGGAGTGAAGAAGATTGATGTGGAAGAAAAACACGAGCTGCGGGCCATCCGCCTGTCCAGAGAGGATTGTGGCTGTGACTGCCGCATGTTCTGTGATCCAGAAACTTGTACTTGCAGTCTTGCAGGCATAAAATGTCAGGTAAATGTCTATATTATTTTCGTTATTTAACTATCAAGGGGAGAGGGAAGGTTCTGTGTGCATGCACATGCGTGTACTTTTTCTTCTTAAAGTTATAACTACTGTAAATTAATTAATTATTAAATGATAGCATTTGTGGATCTCAAAACAGTTTTTTAAAGCCCAGATTTAAGAGTATAAAGTGTGGACTACAATCAACTCCTTAATGTCTGTCTGTATTTTATGATTGGTTTAGGCACTTACATTGTTTAGGTGTTTTTGTTTTTTTGTTCTTATAAAAATACTCTGCTCCTCATGTTCCTTTTCAGTCTTTATCAAAATATGCAGATGGAGACAACAAAAGAATTCATAGCCTGCAGATTTGAGACAGGATATTACCTTTTATTTTCATATACTATCCAAATGTGAATTATAGTCCAAACTCAATGAGAAACAACGAATTAAACTCTATGGTACCATCCTTTATTTAACATGCATGATACTTAAAATACATGCATGATAAATTTGCATGTAGGCAATAAAAAATACATCTGCTACTATAGCAGGTAGTTTTTCCTCTGCAGACTGAAAATGTACACTTACATAGTGTCCTATGTACAGCTCTAAATGTCCCAAAATGTTCCCTAAAAGATGTTACCATGAGTTGCTGTTACACAGCTGAGTTGATTTCTTCCTGAATGCATTTTTCATAATTTCTTAAATCCAAGCTAAAATTTATCTACGGATTTAAATAATATACTCTCTTTGCTTTTCCTGTTTTCATCTTCATGTGTGGGGAAGATGTTGTGTTACATGGTTCTCCTCTGCATCATATTTGATGTTTAGGTAAAATCGTAGACTTTAAGCTATCTGATTGAACTATCTGACTTGTGGATTCAGTCACGTTTTTAGAAATTTAAGATGGCTATTACTAGATATAGTTCTGCCCATAGTCTGTTGAGCTTACAATACTGAATCTACAACTGACTGTAGTATCTTTTAAAATGTACTTGAGTTTTTATTCCTGCTTTCTGTGGTCAGGTGTCCCCACTGTCAACTCTGTAAAAGTTTTTATGTATGTCATTCATTTTGTTTCAATAGGTTTCTAGTTTCCCTGATTTTTACAAAATTTTAAGACTCTCTCTGATTAATGCTTTTGCCTGATTGGAGCACACGTGAAGTAAAGCTGTAGCAGATCCATAAATAGAAAAGTACATGTTTTTTGTTGTACCTTGTAATGCTTTCACATATGGAACAGAAAGGTATTTTTCCTACTCTGCAACACCATTGCAGGTATGAGTCCCTTACTGCTCCTGTCAGTAGTGCTAAATTCCAGGGCTAACTCTCTCAATTATTGTTAGCTTCAAATGCTCTTACAAGTACTTCTCAAAGTTACTCCCACTTCACTATTGTATTTCTCTAGGCTGTTTAGGTTCTGTCGTAGCACCAGGTTTATGCCATGTATTGTTAATCTGTTTTCTTTTTTTTAAAAGGTGGATCGTATGTCTTTTCCGTGCGGTTGCACTAAAGAAGGGTGTAGCAATACAGCAGGTAGAATTGAATTTAATCCTATCCGTGTACGGACTCACTTTTTGCACACAATCATGAAACTTGAATTGGAGAAAAACAGAGAGCAGCAAGTTCCAGCACTGAATGGCTGCCACAGTGAGATAAGTGCACACACTAGTTCTATGAGTCCACAACCCCATCCGGTTGAATATTCAATTGCAGAAAATTTTGAGATTGAAACTGAACCTCCGGCTGCAGTTTTGCATTCTCAGGCAGCCGAGGACTTGGACTGCGCAGGGGAAGAGGAGGAAGAGGAAGATGGGAGTAGCTTTTGTAGTGGAGTTACAGATTCTAGCACGCAGAGTTTAGCCCCTAGTGAATCAGATGATGATGAAGAGGAAGAGGAAGATGAAGAGGAAGATGAGGAGGAAGAAAAAGCAGATGATTTTGTAGAAAGCATGGGCTCTCATGCTGATATGGTGCCTCTTCCTTCTGTCCTTTGCTACTCTGATGGAACTGCTGTGCATGAAAACCACTCTAAAAATGCCTCATACTATACTAACTCTTCAAATCTGTATTACCAAATAGAGAACCATGTTGCTGGCACTGTTAACCAGATCAGTGAGACTTATTCAGAAAGGGATGCTGTCAAGAATGGTAGTCTTTCTCTGGTGCCTTACAACATGACTTCAGAACAGTTTGTTGACTACACACGGCAATCAGAGGAAACTTTTAGCAGCCCTCATTACCCTTCTGCAAACCCCTCAGTGATTGTTTGCTGCTCATCTTCTGAAGGTGATAGCAGTGCTCCATGTAACAGTTTATACACTGAACACAGGCCAAGTCACCCGCAAGTGGAATTTCACTCATACTTGAAAGCTCCTTCTCAAGATGGCTTTGTTTCAGCTTTGAATGGCGACAGTCGTGTACCAGAGCATCCTGCTGAGAATTCACTAAACCTCCCAGAAAAGAGCAGACTGCACGAAGAGTGCATCAAATCGCCAGTGGTAGAAACAGTACCTGTTTAATATTAAAATTATTCTAGGACTGACTTCCTGTATTAAAATGCACTCACGTTGGATTTCCTAGAACCTTACTTTTTTAATAAGTAGACAACACTTGGACTACAGTCAATGTTCCAGACACGTTTTGTTTTCTCAAGCTACACTGGCAGTGGTATTGCACAAAAATAGTTCATGTAAAGATTTAAATAAAAATAATTAAACTGTCTTCTGATAAAAATAAAACACGTAAGTAACTCAACACATAAAGTAGCCTACCTGTTAAAGTATGTGAAACCTGCCAAGCTATCTGAATCAAGGCTTCATGTTTTTTGATTGTTGGGCCTGTGCAAGATTGTTAAAAACGATACTTTTAAATAATCATGTTTAGAGTCTTGATTTTCAACATATCTACAAAGATGGTAAGTTTAATGTAAAAGTAACTGCTGTACAAAAAAGTTTTAATTGTTCTGTACTGTATGTATTTTATTTATGGTAGTTGAATACTCACGTTTTGATAAAAATGAACAGCATGTTCATTTGAGCAGAAGATCCATAGCTAGTTACAAAGAGCATGACCATTCTTCAGCTGGAGTACCATATATTTTATTTTTATTTTTATTTTTTTAAATACCATTTCTGGTGAATTATCTTGAAATGCATTTTTAGGGTGTAGTCTTTTCTCTTTTACTGTTCTTGACAAACAGAGGAGTCAGAAAGGGGGCATTTACATCTTCTAGAAAGGTGAAAGGTAGACAATCCTCCATTAAAATTAAAATCAGTGGTATTCCAGAACTAGTACCCCCTCCCCAAAGAAAAATGATGTTGTATATAAAGGCAAAGCAGTAGCTTAAGCTTGCACAGCACCTTTTTAGCCCAACAAACATTCAGAAACTTAAGCACTTTAGTGCCATTTTGCAGTACTGTATTAACTGCGGGAACTGTGAATTATTTTGGAGAAATGCCATAGCTCCAGACTCTGAGGTGTATGTAAGATCTTAAAAGTCATTGTAACAAAACCTGTACATTTTTCCCAAGCCAGTTTATGAATATGTCAGTAGGTAATTTATAAAAGCAGGGTCTTGCTGATCGAAGTTTAACTGAAGCAGGGAAAAAAAATGGGGAATTGTCTAGATTTCCTACGTATTGAGCAGTTTTTATGAAATATGAGACTGGCTTTTGTGGACTTCTGATCGTGTCTCAAATTTACAGAATCATTTGATCTAATTAGGAACCAGTAGATGCAGTGAGGAAGCATAGCCTCAGAAATTTTATATCTGCTGAAGTTTGCAAGCAAAATAGCACGTGCATCACAGGGATATCTGTTACTTTGTACTCCATTTGTTTTAAAATTAAATGGGACTTAAAATACCTGCTGTATCTCCACCTTTAATTTATTAACCAACTTTGCTTTCTTCTAGAAGAGGAGGTATAGGAATCTTCTTTTCTGTATACTGCTAATTCTGCACTGCCTTATTTTGATTTCAAAATCTATTTTAAGGTTTTTGTTCTTCTAATGCTGAAATTTTTTTTATAGATCAAGTGGGTTGAAATGTAGGCCTGTCTTGTTTGTCAAAGGATCAGCATCTTAGTTTTTAATCTGTGTCAAATCTAGATGGTTAACAGTATGCATGTAAACACAGTGTAAATTTTAGCTCTGTAACAGTGACTCTTCTGGTTAGAAGCTCTTTAAAACGTCATGTACAGTACTCCAGTAGAAAAACTGCCAGGTTTAAAAATATGCTTTTTAAAAAAAGAAGCTGACTTAATTGTTTTTATATGAAATCTGGGCAAAGTGATTTCCCATTTTATGCTAAATTAGCAAAATATTTTTACTTCATGTAGTAGCTGGAAAGGTTTTTTTATTTACTTATATCCACAAGAAGTCCTACATGGTTTATATGAACTGCATTGAGAAGTCCTAGTTCTCTAGGGACTGGATTCCACACCTGCAATGTATTCTGTCTATCTCCTAGGAGAGTGCAGTTATGTTGGTTATCTGGCTCAGCAGTTCCTTAGCCTCTGTTCCTCTTAGTTGACTAACAGCTCACTCCAGTGTTTCTCTAAAGGCCGAGTAGCCAGGTAAGCACATGTACTCTCTCCAGTTCCATATAGCAAATACCACCCATCTTTATTTTTAAAGAGAAACATGTTAGTTCATAAAAAAACTTCTGCATCTAAGAATATTTGGTTCAAGATATTCTACGGGCAAATGTAACAACTGTCTGTGTATATAGGCATCTTGCATTAACAGCAGGCTTAAATCTGGCACTCTGACTCAACACCAGTACCAAAAGCACAAATCCCTTCTACTTGAGCTGGGACAGTAGCTGTGAATCAGTAGCAGCTTTTTAACCTCAGAATGTGTTGGCTACTGGAGGATCATGCACACTTTACCAGGGTGTTTCTCTCAGGGGAAAGTGAAATTAAATATTTTTTGTTATTCATCCCCTTACTGAGCAATAAGAAATTATTTTCTCAGCCCCTGTGCTTTCATATGAAAAATATCTTTTATTAGCAAGCATAGTAAGTGATTAACTTTATAACATACATCTCACTAGCTTTAAAATTCTGAGATTATGATTATTCGATGTTTCCTTTGGCACAGGCTTCAGACCCCAGGCCTCCTTGATATTAGCATCTCCATAAATTAGAGTACTTAGATATGTATGTTTGTGCCATTGGGGCTAAATTCTCTAAAGCTTGCAGCAGCTTGTAATAGATAGAGAAAGCAAGTGACTATATAAAGAACACATGCTACACTATTTTCCCCCGCTTAATGTGGCTAATTCCTGGCAGTCACAAAGTAAAATGTGCAGAATAAAGATTTATGTTGAAAAAAATATTCCTAACTACCTGGTGATAATGTAGATAGTAATACCTTTCTTTTGATCCAATCTGATGTTTTGTGATCAAGATTTGATCTTGGGATACAAAGGAAACAAATACAAAGTTTAATTCTCACAACAAGTTACAAAGTCAAGTCTGTTTATAATTCATAGAGATTTTCTGGTACCTATACTAATAATATCAACAAGCCTTCAAACAGATAAACTCATACTGAGAAAAAAAAAAAAAAAAAGAAACCTCTTTTTTCAATATAGGCTAAACCTGTTCACCAAACAATTCCATACCAGCAAATAACAACATTACGGCCTTTTCTAGCATGTATGAGTAAATTGCCTGTGGGGGGGCGTGGGGGGTGGGGAAGAATTCACAGCCCTGACCAAAACACACTGGCTAATTTAACTGTGAAATCTAGAGTAGGCTGTAGAAATTAGGTGAGAGTCAAGATTCCCACCCTTTGATTAGACTTTCTTGTTATGTTTAGACGAAAAAAGTACTCTTTGTATAAGGAAAACCAAACTCAAATCACGGGATGGAAGATGTTTTAATGTTACTTTCTGGGCTAGTATATGATATTGGTTAATATTCATGTTGATAATGAGTGCTTTAATTTTGGGTAAGCTTATTTCTGCGTGCTAGAAGTATTGTGTTACTAAATGACAAATAGCAGTATTTGCTTCTGTATTGACACAGTGTATGCCATTTGTGGAAATGTTTACTTTACTGATAGCTGTATCAGCTTTATTTCCCAAGATATCTGGCTACTGATAAACACTCCTAAGAAGCCAGGTAATAAATTGGCATATAGTTTACAATTACACTACATAGTTCAGAAAAATGAGACATAACAAAAGCATTTCCCTCTGTTGAAATAAAACAGAATTTTCACACAGCAGATCACTGGAACAGCACCTGCAACTGGATGCCTTTTTGCCTATAATGTGAATTTTGCCTCTCTTGGAAAAAATGCATTGTTAAAGTTTTATATATATACACTTTAACTCACATTAGACATAAAATTAGAACTTTTTCTAGCAAAATTGCAGCAATTGCAATTGTTTTGTAAGAGCTATAACTCATCCCAATGGAACATCCTTTAAGAAGTTAAAAGCTGGTCAGTAGAAGTTTCTAATATTTCTTTTATTAAAAAAAAATCTTTGATGAGCTGTATGCCACTTAGATCAGAAAGGTCTAGATTTGTAAAGTTTACTATTTTTCATTTCATAAGTTCTGGCTAGTGAATCATAATTTGAGTTGATATTGATGTTTTTTAAGGCTATTTATTACATTATCATAGTAATCATCACTTGCTATAAATATGGTTCAGCCTGCTCACTGATCTGTTAACAGTCAGTTAACAATGTGATCCCGCCTTTTGTCTAAGTTCTGCGGAAACTGCATGTAGGGTTCATGGTGTTGTTACTCACTGGATTGCTGACTGATCCAGATCCAGTTTCTAATCTTATCTGGGTGTTTGTTGTATTTCAGTAAACGTGCTAACAAACTGATCATGTAGTATTCCCTGCCTCACAATCAAGAGGATATCTTCACAAAACACAGCTAGTTTGTTAAAGATTGTATATGTACATTTGTATGCAAAACAACATGTATTATGTTTTTTAATATTTGAGATGTTCCTGACTCTTTGATAGAAATATGATATACTGTATAGAGAGTATTGGGACACCAGGGTTCTGTTCAATTTGCCTCTGTCCTGCTGTGTCACTTCTATCCTCTATGCTCTGGTTTATAACGTACTTGGAGATGCTGTGATAAAAAAATAATTCTGTAGAACAGGCAAAATACTGGGGTTTTTTCCTCTTTTTTTTTTTTTTGGCATGATAACTAAATTTTTGTACTGTAAACTAAGTCACTTTTCCAATAAAGCCCAATCCAGCTCAGAAGTTAATAGAAATTTTATCACTAACATGAAAGACAGCAAAAGCAAGTTTGCCTTTCCATGCACCAGATTAATGAGGAAAAATTTAATGATAAATTTTGCATAAAAATTTTGCAAAAACCTTTGAATAAAAGCTGTGTTGAATATACAACATTTACCTGTTGAATTGTTAACATTTTAGTGGCAAGATTGTAGTTTGTCTACAGCACCATACCTGGCAGCAATGGGTAGTCTTATTCCCCTGCATGTCGTCTTCTTTTGCCAGCTGAATTCTCAGTTGAAACTCCTTATGTAGACTGCTCCTGTAGTAAAGCAGGTACCCTTA